CCATTGGACTTGGTGGCATTTACTTCTGAGGCTCAGGCTGCAAGCCCCTCAAATTTAAAGCTATTCTGCCTAATTCCCTGTTTCCAGGAGAAAGTTGTGTTCCAGAGCCTGGGGCATTGGCCAGAGTGCCTTCACAAAAGCCGCTCTGAAATCTGAAGTTCTAATTTTGAAGCTTGCAGATACTGCAGTTAAAAACGAATTGCTAGTTTTCATGGAAAGCTGACTTGGGAGTATGCTACTTTTTAAAGCCCTTGGAGGTTTTTACTGATCAAGTAGTATGTGCATCTTGTCAAATGCAAAATAAATACCAATTATCAAAGCCCATTGCAAGTCAGTACTGTACTGAAAAACAATGAGCATAGTAATTACCTTTAGATTTGTTTAGATCAGAGTTTCTCGAACTTGGGTCTCCAGCTGTTTTTGGACTAACTCCCATCATCCCTAACTAGCAAGACCAGGGGTCAGGGATGATGGGAACTGTAGTCTGAAAACAGCTGGAGACACAAGTTTGGGAAACCCTGGTCTCATGCTTTTTGCTTTTACCAATATAAAATAATTATTGTGCAACTTCTTGCCATCAGAGCATCCAGATCTAATCTTGGACAATATCTCATGTAAATGACATTATTTCCCCAGGAATGAATCCCTCATTGCTCATTCTGAAGTTGTGAAGTAAATCAGGCAGAAACCAGGAGCATGTTGACCCAAAGCAATAGTAAGGTGGTTTAAATATGCTTTTAGTAAAAGTTATAACAGTTGATAGAATAGTGCTATTTTAGATATTGTACATGAAGTACATTGAAAAGGGATGCTGAAGCAGCTTTTAGGAATTAACTCCTTTCTAGCAGAAGCACATGCAGAACAGCAGACCAGTGGTCCCCTTATTTTGTTTTAAAGCCCTAATTTGTTTATGTACGTCATGAATTGGATTTCTTGCATTATATTTACAAGATATGAAAATTCATCCCCGCCCATTTCATCTTTTCTCAACGAAGCTCACTTGCATTACTGAAAAGCAACTGTCTTCAGTAATGCTCTGGTCCGTATTTACCCTGCAAGGAAGAGCATATTCTGTGAAATCACAACTGAGGCAGGGGGTGGATCCAAGAGCGTTCTGGCAACGTGACCATAAGTCATTGCAAGCTGCTGTAGAGAGAGAGAGAAAAAAGAGAGAAGGTAGCCACTCCCTCTGTGGTCATCAGAGATACCTTGGCAAACCAAGAGAACTCCTGGATTTTTTCATTCTGTTCTCAGAGCAAGTTGTAGGAGCAGGGGGGAAAGGTTGGTTGTATTATAATTATTATTAATTGCATTTATATCCTGCATTTCCCCCCAGAGAGCTCAAGATGGGAAGCATTGTTCTTCCCCTCCTCACTTAATCCCTACATCACTGTGCGGTAGATTGGGCTGAGAGGCAGTGACTGGCCCCAGGTCACCCAGTGAGCTTCATGGATGACTGGGGCTTGAAACCTGGTCTCCCAAGTCGTTGTCTCGAGACTAATCACTATACCTTGACACTAATCACAGGCTTGAGTTTCTACATCTTTTTGTCTTAAAGTAGCCACTGTCCCTGGGTCTAGTTCAGCTACCAGGGTGTGCTGCTTAAGCCATTAGCCTTTGACGCATCTCCCCCCGCACAATTTATCCAGCCACCAGCTGTGGAAACTGTAAGACCAGCCATGCTCAAGGGCCAGTATGCTTCTCTTGGGTCCAATAAAGCAAACGTCTGTAGCCTTTTTCATGTTACTCGCCATTATTGTGCAAGGTGCTATACAGAACACGGGGGGTGGCACTCAAGACACCCTGCTTTGCAGGTTACGTCCCCCAGTGGATTAAAGTGCCACAATTGCTGCATTGGTCAAGGATAGAACCAGCTCTCTTCAGAAAACACTTACGACAGATTGCTGATTAAACATTTGCCTCTTCTCTGTTTAATTTTTGTTTTCTGTTCGCTGGCATTTCAGCTTGTGGGTAAGCAAATTGCGTACACTAGCACTGAGAATGTTGCCCTGAGCACCTCGTTTACTTGAGTGTAACGGCTGTCTTTATTTCTGTAGAACGGCTGGGTGCTTTATAAGGTCTGTTGCTTTTTGTGTCCTTTTTTAGATGGAAGAAGAAAGGGGTTCAGTCACCCCAGCATGTGATTTTACTGAAGGCAGGCACAGAGGGGAGGACAGCAGGCAACTGCTAGCAGATGCCCTTAGGCAGCGAGAGTGACCGTGTGCCCTAGGTAGTACCCGAGTTCTATATCCTAATAATCTAGCTCATCATGAATCGATTCATCTGTGGTGCCCTGTGCCCTGCACTTTTCACCATGAAGCACTTTTGACATCTTGGCATGCCTCTGGTTTTGTGTTTTTCCTAACAAACTCGATCACTAATATTGTCACATTGATTTAATTTGGTTTCTTAATTCCATTAAGAACTAATGGGGAGGGGGGAATGTGCTGCATTGTAGTCTGAAGGTTTTTTTAAAAAATGTTTTAAGACCACTGATTATATTTAAAGTAGGGATGACTAGTCTTGTGGCCTCCTGGATGTTTTTGAACTCCCAAGTCCCATCAGCCCCAAGTAATATGGTCAGTGTTCAGGAATGATGGGAAGGCCACTTGTTGGTTATCCTCCTCTGAAATGTAGCAGACTTCAGCTAGTTCCTCTTATTTTTGTAGCCTGTAGCCTGGTCTACTGCAGGATGTCCATAGAAATGTTTTCCCTTCTGGGGTAAGACTTCCTGGGTAGGACCCAAAGAGATCTGTCTGTAGGAGGGGCCCATTAGTTTTATCTTCTTCCTGTAGTCTCTTGGACCTCTCTGAGCACCGCTGGAGGGTTGGGGACCCACCAGAGAAGTGGGGTGGGTGGGTATGTGCAAGGAACAGGTGAAGAGAGACCTGAAGCGTCCAGGGGCACTGTTCTCAAATGTAGTAAAATATGTCTTGGTAAGTAGAAGTTGGGAGAAGATTGATTTTATTTCGGCAGGACTGTGGTGACGTGGGAGTGAATGGAAGAAAGAAAGAAAGAAGAGGAGAGAAGGGCATTAAGCTATCTAATAATAATAATAATTTTATTTTTTATACCCCGCCCATCTGGCTGGGCTTCCCCAGCCACTCTGGGCGGCTCACAGCAGAAAATTAAAAATGCGATAAAACGTCAAACATTAAAAACTTCCCTAAACAGGGCTGCCTTCAGATGTCTTCTAAAAGTCAGAGAGTTGTTTATTTCCTTGACATCTGATGGGAGGGCGTTCCACAGGGCGGGTGCCACTACTGAGAAGGCCCTCTGCCTGGTTCCCTTTAACCTCACTTCTCGCAGGGAGGGAACCGCCAGAAGGCCCTTGGAGCTGGATCTCAGTGTCCCGGCTGAATGATGGGGGTGGAGACGCTCTCTCAGGTATACTGGGCTGAGGCCGTTTAGGGCAGGTCTGTGCAGACTTTAGACTTATGAGTCTTACAGTAGAAAATGGCTGTTTAAGTGCCAGCGATAAGCTTCAATTCAATTGACAATTGCAGCGTTTGTGAGATTTCTAAAATGTGGTTTTGAAGTTGTACAAAAAGTTGTGACACTTCTGACATGGGTTTCAGCTAAGATGTTCAAGCGTGTATGTAATTGTTGCTTTTCCCCTCACTAACCATTTGGGGTTGTTTTTTTTTTTGGGGGGGGTCCTCAGTGCCTTTCTTTCTGCTAGCCTGTTTCATACTAACTAATAAGACAAGCCTACTTTTTTGTTGTTCATTTCAGCTTGAATGCCCCGCTGCTTGTTTACCCTTTGTGCTATTGGTGGTTGTTAATGTTACTACTTTAAACATGTTCCCCCCCCCTCCTTTGCCCAGCCCTGTCTCCCCAAACTCCCTAATTCAAGTGGAAATAATTTTATTCATTGGTATTTGTACCACACACTTCCTCCAAGGAGCTCCAATCACCTGCCTTCTCAGGTTTAGCACCTTGACGCCACATAAGAAAACGGATGTCCCTTCGTTTGTTTCTCGATAAAAATCATCCCTGCTGTCACGGTAGCAGCAGCAGCAGCAGCTGTGGGCAGGATGTCAGGCATATGCCAATTCAAAATGGTTTCCTTGTCGTTTCCTTTTATTTCTCTCCATTTACGCAGCCACAGAAGTTATTCCCACTTGTTGAGTTCAAACCCAGCAGGTCAATGAGACTTTGTCAGTAGGTTGCCGAGTCAAAGCTGCTTTTGACCTTGTGGGCACTGCTGGAAAGTGGGGAAAGCAACAATGGGGGCAAAAGTATGGTCTGGGTTAGGCCAATGAGACCTAAAGAGAAAGCAGAAATAGCTAGTGGGCACCATGGGTCAGGGACGAGGGGTGAGTATCCTGGGTCCCAGACCTCGTAGCTAATGTTGTTGTTGTTTTGGTTTCCCATTTTGGATCTAGTGCAAAAGAAAGTGCTCTCATTAATGGCAAGGTGTCCAGGTTTTAAATCAGGGGTTAGCAACCTTTTTCAGCCATGGGCTGGTCCACCATCCCTCAGACCGTGTGGTGGGCCGGACTATATTTTGAAAAAATAATAAACGAATTCCTATGCCCCACAAATAACCCAGAGGATGCATTTTAAATAAAAGCACACATTCTACTCATGTAAAAACACCAGGCAGGTTCCACAAATAACCCAGAGATGCATTTTAAATAAAAGGCCACATTCTACTCATGTAAAAACACGCTGATTCCCGGACCGTCCGCAGGCCGGATTGAGAAGGCGATTGGGCCGCATCCGGCCCCCGGGCCTTAGGTTGCTTACCCCTGTTTTAAATGGTGCCCCATCACTGCTGCACCTCCATTATACTGATTTGCCCAACATAGGTTTACAGGATCTGCAAGAAGGATGCATGTAGGCCAGCTCATACGTATTGCGTTCATGCTCCTAAGATTTGTGTTGCTTCCCCCCGCTTTTCTCTAAAGAGGTTTGTGACCTGTAATAGCAAAGAAAGGAAACAAGAAAAGGAATCTGATACGCTGATCTCTCCTTTGTCTTCCCCACCCCCTCAGCTTACTGAGACAAGTGCAGGTATCAACTGCTTGGACTCCATGTGCTGCTTCTCAGATGGAGAAACAGCATGTGCGCCTCTTAGAAGAATGCTGGAGCGAGTGATGGGGAGCTGCAGCCCGACGCGAATCAACAGGTGTGGAATTTCTCTCAATTGCCTTTGCTGCCGACGGTTCTCTTATAAACTGGAGCACGACGAGCCGGCAGCTGTAGATGTCTAAGGAAAGGCAAGAGGCGCTCCTTGTAGGGCCCACCCCCCTTTTTTATTTTTGGATCTCAAAAGATCAGTGTTTCTGCTTCTCCTGGAAGCCCTTTCAGTGGAGCGCAAGAAAGGAAGCTTGGTATTTTGTTCCGAAAACTTCCTGAATTTTTCCCGCGACGTCGTCCGATCCAGCAGCTGCAGTGTGCCTAGAGCGGCTTTGACATACGCATGAAGCTGCACATGAGCCGGGGCTCCCCTGCTCTCTGCAATAGCAAGAAGTGATCCGAGTGCATTTGCCAGGGAGCAGAAGAGAGTAGCTTCTGCTCATGCCAAGCTTTGTGCGTGTGCCGCAGTCCAAAAAAAGCTCCGTTTTTGGCTTCTCTTTTCTTGTGTGCATATATCAATGTGATTCCCCCCCTCCTCTCTTGCCTTGTATTTCCTTTTCCTCAAAATCTGATCACTGTCTTGATTTATTCTCCTGATTTAGCTCTTCCTTGTGTTCGCAAATTAGAAAACGGTTTATGCAATCCCTTGTTTGTTCAGTGTCTGTCTGCTCACTAGTCATATATTGCAGTGTCTGATTCTAGTTATACAAAGGTTGCATTTTCTCCCCTGAAATATAACTTCCTCTGCAAATGTAAAAGGAATGCTTCGGGGAGGGTGTTATTTTATTTTGAGGCTTTTATTTGTTCATTGGCAGTGTTTTGTTTTTTTAAAAAAATACTTTTAAAACAATATGGAACAGGAGTTTTATATACGTACAATTGAATAGCAAAACTTGACGGAGCCAAAGCAGCTCAAAATAATAGTTTTTAAATTTTCGGGACTTTTCTACTTCTACCTGCAATACATGCCATTCAGAAATCAGTGCTAAATGTTCCTTCAGTGGTAGATACCTTTTTTAAAATTATTTTTAAAAAGCAGTATATCCAATAGAGCCCATATAAATATCCTTGACGAGCACGGTTATGTTTGGAACCGTTTTAGAACAGCAAATTTTAGAATCTGCAGAATTTGTCTGCAACTTCGTCCTTCTGCTGAAACTAGGGTAGCCGGGAGGAAACAGCGTGACACAAACACAGAGAGATATTTGTGGGGTAGAAAATCACCTGTTGCAGCTGAGTTTCTCCTAACACCTCCGATTGATAACCGCGTTCTGGAAAATCATAGCCACTTCACTCCCTCTCCAGCTCTGCGGCCACCGTACTACTCGGAGCTAAACCATGGGTAGACTTAGAGTTACGTGCAAATCTGGCTTGCATGCCAGCACGCCATGAGTGGGGGGGAAATTGCCTGTTGCAGCTCATGGTTTTCTGGAAGTGAGACAAACCATGAGCACAGATTCTCACGCAAGGCAAGAGTGTGCAGCCGTGGTTTAGCTCTGAGTAGCAGCAGCAGCAAGACTGGGGGGTGGAGCGAAGCTTTCTCGTTCTTGATTTAGTGTTATTTGCAAACCAGGCCGATATCGCAAAGGTTCTGGCTATTGCATGGTGTTCACAAAAGGTAGGTATAATCTGCTTCATGTTCAACTTTGGCTAACAATTCTGATGGTTTTTGCTTTTGTTTCTGCATCATCTATAAGTGTATGGCCAGCATGGTGTGACTAAAGTCTCCTATTTGACAGAATAGTGCCCTCTCGAACTTACCATGCATCTTAAAAAGCAATCCAAGAACATGACTAGGCACCATCGCAGCGCATCCCACAGCATTTTCTGTTTGGGTTTTAAATTCTGCTGAAATAATTTGGTTTCCCTTTAGATCAGCCTTTCTCAACCTGTGGGTCCCCAGATGTTGTTGAACTACAACTCCCATCACCCCTAGCTAGCAAGGTCAGAGCTCAGGGATGATGGGAGTTATAGTCCAACAACATCCGGGGACCCACAAGTTGAGAACCGCTGCTTTAGATCATCACTTGAAAGAGACTTAATAATTTTCCTGGCCCAGTTTTACTTTGTAAATTGCACAGCACCGTTCCTCAGACAGTTTGGAATTGTAGCTCGTCTCTTTGCCAAGATTATACTGCAGCAATTGTAGAGTAAAAGTTGATTCCCTAAAATCATGGATTTAGAGCAGTTGTGCTCTAGACACAGAGTAGATGTTGCCCAAATCACCGTGATCTGAGACAGACAGGACAGTATCAGTCTTCAGTATTTCTTCCCCGAATCTATTTGAGCACTGAGATGTGCACCCAGAACAAACTCTTGGGCACCTGGAGTCCTCATTCACTTTCATGAAAGGCTGCAGAGCATGTATTCAGATCAGCTGCTGCACTGGGAATGAATGGGGGGCCTCAGTGTCTGTCCTGAGTCATTGGACCAGGGTGAAATAAGTAAGCTTAGTGACTGTAGACTCGCCATGTGCTTATGACTGATAACACTTTGGGTGTGAGCTGAGAACTTTCTAGTTATCTGTCCCAGGATTGTCTGCTGTCAGATGAAACACACGTCTTCAGGCTCTGTTTTCCACATGATTGGTAGTATAAGTAGAACGCCTGTTTCAGCCATTTCAGTATTACAATTACAACACTTCCAGTATTACAATTTTTCCACTTGGCCATCAGTATCCATCAAGTCTCTTGACTTACCCATGCTAACAATTTACCTGGTTTATTGGCTCGAAGACATTGTGTGACACCCATGATTACCAGCACTGAATATTCTGTCAAATAAGAGAACTGGAATGTGAAATCAGTACCTGGTGACATTCTGAATGGGAATGCTTTTGTTTCATCTAATGGTCTTAAATGCTTGGAGTGAAGGGGAAATGGGGACAGCACATGAAATCCTCTTTTAAAGCTTTAAAATTAAAATATGATTTCTATTCTGAGCTTTCATTGATTTTTCAAAACAAGAATTTGTGCATGACTTTTCTAAGTTGCCAAAATATGTTGCTCGTCTGTCTTCCATCAATCAAACTGTTCGTCATTGCATTAGTCACTCAAGTGCTAATACTGGATCCTGTGGTTTTATTAACGATACATGTTCACAGCTACTTCCTCAAGGTATTTCAGATAGCTGGGATGGAGATGGATGTTTCCATTATTATTTATTTTTGGTTTTTGTTCTGAATGTGTGTTTTTTTTTTAAACTTCCCAATCAGTACCTGTGCTCATTTACACCTTTCTCCCGAAATACATGTGGCACAATTGCATGCCACTAATACGCATCTTTAACAAAGGTTTCGCGCTCGTTCCAATGAGAGGGAAATATTCCACAATGGCTAGACGATCCTGCTCTTCACTGCATACCACAAGTGACTAACCTATGGCCCCTTCCATATGTTGACTTGCAATTCTCATTGGCACCATCAAGTGTTGCCAATTGTCAGGGATGGTGGATATTCTTCTGGGGGGCCATAGGTTAGCCACCTCTAGTGCATGATAAGCAGCAATTCCCCTGTAGACAATCCTGAGACTCCTCCACAGGAGTTGGGTTCCGAATCATGGCCACTACATGAGAACAAGCCCCATATGTGTAAAGGGGCATAATTGTTTACATAATTATGAGCTAGTAATAGGGGTGCTTCTAACATGAAGCTTTCCCCCATCTTTCTTCTGCAGACTGGGAATGTTCTGCATCTCTGTTGATCGCATCCAAAATGTTACAAAGCACAGATTTGAAACCCAGGGCCCTTCCAGATGATGCCCATGATCATCCCTGGAAAACACGGACCCTTGGCTCACTTCCTTTTGCTTTTATTTTTTTTTAATCCCTTTAAAATCCCCCTCCCCACTTTTTTTCCAAACAGAAATTCACATTTCCAGTCAGCAAAACTTCTTTCTTATTGTTACTTTAGATCATGGAGCTCTACGGAACCCTTCTATACCAACGACCGAAGCATCTTGACGTTGTCCACAATGGACTCAATCATATGTTGAGACTTTTCTCAGTGTCTTTTGGAAATCCATAAGCTTGCTAGCTTACAAACAGATTCAGTAGCGTACCACTGGTTTAGCAAATCTGCTACCCACCCCTCACCCCCAATTTTTTATTTTAAAGAAAAGTCTTTTTGTCCTGGGGTGTCTCTTATTTCCCCCCAAATTGTTGCAGAAGATTTAAGGAGATTTTCCTCTGGGTTCCATGCCAAACAGCCTGGGTGGAATAGTTTGTATTTCATTTGAATGTCGCTGGAAAGCAGTTATGGGTTGTCCTACTATAAGAATATTGATTTTGAAGGTTCCAGATTATCATTTGCAACGAACCATGTTGAAAATGCCATTTAATGGAGCTGAAACCTATTGGCATTCTTCAGATGGATACTCTTGGTTTTCCATGAGCGAGTCAATCAACAACAATATGTTGGAATCATTTTAAAAGGAAAGACGTGGTTTGATTTGCTGTCCAGAGATCCATACTCTTAAGAAGATAATCAAGATAGGACGTTGCTAGCACTATTAATGTGGTAGCTCCAACATCTCCACAAATTGAGAACTCAATATTTGTCATACCCTTGTTAGACTACCTGGAAGTTTTGAACATGGAAAATCACAGCAAAGTGTTGTTGAATGAATAATTGTTTTGTTCCCCAGGCATGCATGATCAGGGGGCTGCTTTTTTGTACACATTCCCCCCCTCCATATATTTATTTTGTAATATTATCCTCTTAATAGGAGAGCACTTTTAAGCAGTTAATTATTCTCCCGGTTTTTGCAGGGACTGCAGACTTAGTGGCAGCCCTTTTATGAATCCCGTATCACCCCTGTGCAGGAGTTCACATTTCAAAATGCCACCCCTGTGCAAATTGCTCGCATGTCCACTGCAGTTTCCTTTTTGAGCCAAACAGGTCATAAGCGACACTGAGAAGAGCATCATCTTCCTGGTGGTGGAAAAAAAACAATGCGTAAAATGAGGCCATTGTGTTTCGTTTCTGTATCGGGGCTCAACTGCATTGAGTGCGATGAGCTCATGACACCCTTCATCTTTGGCCAGGCACCAGTGGGGTTGCTGCTCTCACCAGCCACGTGCCCCTATAAATGTACACTTTGGAAGTGTCATTGCTTTTCCCACCAGGCTGCTTTTGAGGCGGCCTTAACTAGCTGCGTCGGTGGCTGCTTCCAAAAATGCAGCAAGCCTCAAAGAACCCCGTTCCGTGTTTGGATCTCATTGCGTTGACCTCTGGGTTGGGTCCTCTGCTTGCAGACGCTGTCATTTCTAGGAATGCCTGCAAGTGTTTTTTGCCACAAGTTCATTTTTTCCTTAGAGAGGAGGGGTATTCAATATACGCCAGCAGCACTCTGGCACAGCTCCTGTGCATTTCAGTTTAGAGGCGCAAAGGAAGGAAGGCGTTCCCGGTGGATGACACCCCTTGTGATCAGATAGCTGCTGTTTGCATAAGTGATTTTGTCTCCATGTTTTCTCCTTATTCAGTCCATTTTGTCAGTGACATAAACCACTAATTCATACATGCTGTTGCCCTCCTGGTTTTTCATTTCATCTCCTCATTTCATCTTTTCAGGCAAAAGGTTAGAAAAGACATCAGGCTTGACAAATAATCAAGCTCCAAGCATTTATTGAAGTGTATAACTTAAGTTACTTTTTTAAAAAAAGAGTGTTTGAAGAGTTAGATTTTTAAATACTTTTGTCCACAGTTGCGCAATTTGAAGAGTGATTGACTTCATTTTTTTCAAAACTTCCCATTTCTCCCTCCTCTCTCTCTCCTCCCCTCCTCAGTGTATGTAAGGGCGCAGAAGAAGCATGTATTTAAACAAATTCAGGAAAAGTATAAGAGTCCATCTGTCCAAGCCCAGGTATAATTTTCTATCTGAGGGGGGAAAGCAAACTCAGAGAAGATTTATTTCATTGTACCATTTGTTTTGTGCATGATAAACAGGACTTGGGGCAAATGGAAGCAGAGCTAATATATTTTGTATTGGACCACAGATGCTTTTATAATTTTATCTTTTTTTAAAAAAAGAATAATGTTTGTGCATTTTGGTTTCTTGGTCTGATTAGTTCTAGGTTCAGCCATAGGCCGAACAAAATGAATCCAGTGTGAAATTCATGAATTATAACATATTTGTACCTGTTAAGACCAGCCAGGAAAAGTAGAGTGGGCCCATTTTCCTGCTTTACTGATTTTAGGTAAGGGTTAAGTTCTGTTAAGTCTCTCTAGTTCACGGAATACACACAAGGAAACCTAGTGTCAAATTAGCGTTGCGTATTGCCGATCCCCTGGAAGAATCTGAACTGAAAAATCCCAGTTCAGCAGTCAAATGTTCATCCAAGATTCCCAGTCCAAAACCCTGCGAAGAGGCATGACGTGCGGACAGGGCCGTCTTCATTCATATCACCGTGGAAGCCTTCACCACGGTAGGAACTCTGCAGAAACGTTGGCCATGGAGAACTGTATCAAACCCTTGACTTTGCTCCTTAGGATTGCTAGATGGGGCTTCTAGAGGTACTCAAGTGACTCAGAAAGCCATCTCTCTTACAGAGTGTGACATCATGCATATAGCCTCATGCTGTCTGGCACAGTCCTGCCCAGAACAAGCCAACATGGATTGTCCTCCACCTTCCGGGCAGCTCTGTGCGTTGCTTCAAGTTGGCCAGGTCCGTTCTTTCTTCCAACCCCAGTCTGCGCATGGCCAGGTTTGTGGCATCCCCATTCATAGTGGGGTATGCCTTTTCTAAATGCCACACCTTGATTGTGGAGCATGTTCCCTGCTCTCCACATTGGTGTTGGTGTGGGAGTGGTTCTGGGAAGGGTTTTCCGCCTGTCTCTTTGCGACGTGCATCTGTTGTATTTTGGCCTTGCTGACAAGCTTTCTGCTGCTGCCCCAAATGTTACCCTCAACAGAAAATACTGGGATGTATCTGGCTCAAAAGGGACAGAAGAAGAGAATCCTCCTCTCACAGTAACCTTTGACAATTGGGCCTTGTTTATCATGAGAACAGGCGTAAGGAACGTCCGGCTCCCTCGAGCCCTATACAAAATGGCCAGTGGTCTGGAATGATGGTGGTTGTAGTCCACTAACATGGGGCAGGCCATGAGTTCTTAACCCATGGCTTGGAGAGTACAATGTGGAGAGGAGACTGATTTTCCCATGGAAATCAGAAGGTGTTTAGGCCCCCTTGTTTAGAACTAGTTCGGACTTTACAGATTTTTCCACAAAAGGGGACTTGGCCATCCTTCAGCTGCTGGGAGAAAGAAACTCCTAATGACAACAGACAAGAAATAAGCTTGGGACTCAGGGACTCAGTGGGTCAGGCATCTCCTACATGCAGCTCTAGTTGCAATACTTTGGGGGTATCTGCAGAGCCCCACGGATACTACTTATTTCCAAATACTGTGGAGTTTTGTCTGCTTAAAACATGCTATGCATATTTAAGGATGTTTGGAGGTTTGCGGGAGGGGGCAGCGTATCAAAAACACTCCCTGCAAAGTCCCGTTGCCTTCAGTGGGCCTACACAGCCTCTGCCCATGTAAAGTTTCACCAGTATCGCCCTGTGTGAAGCTGCATTATGTAGTGCTAAACATTGCTCAGCCATTGAAAGAAGGTCGTCTGAAACATCATTTTGACCTGCTCCCCCCCCCCCCCAAGTTTTTAAGGCTGAATAGAATCTCTCTTTAAAATTTAATATTCCAAATCTGATTGCTTTGTGAGCTTCACTTTCCAAGTGTATCTAACATGCAATCAGTAGAACATTTGTATATCGAAATCTCTATATATATTATGCAGGAGTGACTTAAATGCCTAATAGGAAAAGCTGGGGGAAAGCACCCAGGAGCTGGAGTTCAGGTAGCTCAAGTGTAGAGACCTTGTTTTGAACGCAGAAGGTTCCAAGTTTAGGCCCTGGGGTCAACTGGCTTTGAAACACTTTGGACTGAACCCCGAAGAGCTGCCAACCAGTGTAGACTACCGAGCTAGATGGACTAGGGAGTTGATGCATAGTGGCTTCCTGTAACACATACCCATTGTCATAAGGATGCTGCGGAAACCTGCTGTGGCTCTGCTCCCTAAAATCCCGGGGATTGCAATTGGGTGCAGGTACTACACATACGCCAACACTTACAGAGCTTCCAGGGTTCCCCAGGGATAAGGAATGCAAACCCAAACTTCTGCAGTGTAGACTGGCTTGAGAGAGAAGGAGGGTCGTTTGTGTTAAACCCGGGCCCCACAGTGAGAAATGTGACTAACGCTGGACCGTGGAAATGTTGAAGGACTGACTACAAGTAGAGCCTGTGTGCTTATTATGGAGCAATGCCAACAATAATTTGGTGGCGGACACAACTATGGCCATCTTTATCCTTTTTGCCATGTGTCATGTAAATGCGTTGAACCTCTGTAACAGCTGATGGACAGTAGAATGTTAAGTGACTGAGAAGGGCCCAGAGACATATTAGGAAGTATGCAGACTGTGCTTTCCTTCACTTGGTGTCCTCTTGTTGAAGTACCACCTGCAGTGGCCGGAGGCCACCAAGTTGGAGCAAAATCACTGCAAAGGGATGGTTGATCATGCTCAAACCTCCTGTCTCTGAGCTCCACTCTGCATGGTGGACTTTTGTAGCAGAGTGAACTTGGATAGGATTGTGCTGTAATTCGGCCTCACTAAAATCAATGGGGGGTGGGTAAAACACAGCTCATAATCTCTGCCTTGGGGCAGAATTTAGGTTTCAATGAGATCCCGTGCGACAGATAGTGCTTGTTGTGTGTGTACTCACCATTTTCAACAAGAATTGCCATTTCAGAGAAAGCCTATTTTGTTACTTAGCTGCAGGATTAAATATTTACTGACTTGTTTTTTTTTAAAGAAGCTGGGAAATACTTTATTTTTAAAACAGAGGGTGGTTTCAGGTATGAAACATTATTCTTACTATGCCAAAGACTGCGCTTCATCAAACATGCTTGATTCGAGGTCCTGCAAATTGGTCCTCCTTCATGAAGACACAGCAAGCCCTCTTGATTCTCAGTTGTGGACAAGCCTGGTGGGGTGCACTGCTCTCAGGGTTTGAAAAGGCCCCTGCATGGTGCCGTTGGAAGGAGCACCGAATGCAGCCCCACCTTAGCTGTTTGAAACTGTGCAAGAGGGACATTAAAGCAGCATTGCCTGTTGGGAACCATAGCAATAATAGGTACCAAGTAATCTTGACCCTGGGCACTGTGGCCACCTCTACCATCGTTTTTAGATCCTCTGTGGAAACAGAGTTTAATATAGCGTGCTGACCGTACTGCTATGTCAATAGGTTGTTCTACAAAAGTTTATGGAAATTATATTTATTGAATAAATCTTTTGACTTTTATGCCACTTGTCTTGTCTTCACTGCTTAAGAATGGGTGCTTAAGGATTCGAGGGTGAGGAATTGCATGTTTTAGTGCATTCTGCAAATTGTCTGTGCACAGGTAGAGAAAGGAAAAAGGTTTGCAGCTCAGCAACTCTGCTATCCACCTGCCTTTAAAAAAAAGAAAAATGCAAGGTTCAAATAGAAGGTGGCAGCTTTTTCCAGTGTTTTGTGTGTTTCATTGCGCTTCCACAGTAGGGATGAGGCTTCAGTAGCCTCTCACTTGAATCCAAGGGCCCTTCAAACCTTTTGATTCTAACACCTGGAGGGCCACAGCTCCCCATCCTTACTCTGCAGATTTTAACGCATTGGTTTAGATTATTGTTTAGTCACATTAAAAGGGCTGCAATACTTGCAAGCTTTCTTTAGGATGCACCGCAATAGCAGCTAGTGTTAACGCGCACACATTCACCCATTGAACAATAATCCATTATCTGTTGTTTGTTACCCTACACTCTCGGGTCAACCCCCCCCCCCCAAAAAAAACTAAACCTGTTATACAGTGCTTTATATTTACACAAATAATCCACCACAGCAAATAGCCATGGCTTATATTGTGCTTTTCATCGAAGAAGAAAAATAGGACCAGTACACACCAACCTGCCTGCCCAAATCAGAAATTGCTATACAACCACAAAGGCAGCTGCAGGTGTAGCAAGCATTGCAAATAATGCTCTTGAATTACTCAGTTTGGACTCCTGAGCACCCGCCGTTAAGCTGTGCTAGGAAGAGATTGAGGTGACCTCTTGGGATACTCAAGCGCAGGGATAAAAACTCTCGGGCCAAGTGCTGGTGGCTGGCACACAAAGCTGGCAGCGGGCAAGGCCCTGCAATGCAGTCTCCATTTCCCCCTTCCTTGCCACCCACATGAAATTAGGTTGGGGGGGTGTTCTAAATATCTAGTGAATATCTGTTCTAAATATCTAGTTTGCTCACAAGCACCTAAGCATCAATATAGCAATCGCAAATTGGGGGAAGCCAAGAAATCGAAACTTTATGTACCATACTTTGAAGCTGCTGATTTTGTAACATTACACTGCTGATAAAAGGTTTTTTCCCAGATGAGATCTGGACCTCAATTCTTCACTAGATTCCAGCGAGGACAACATGTGTAAAGAATCTTAACTCCTACAAGTGTTTATTCAGAGGTATGGAGTTTGGTGCATAGGATGGTAACCTTACCTCCACGTCTATTCTAGGTGTACACCCAAATATAAATATAAATGCAAGTAGCACGTAGGTACATTCATTAAGAAGCCATGTAAAGTTTATACTCGTGGCACAATCGAGGGCAAAATTGAGATCTGCCTCTGTTCCTAAGTTAACCTGCTCCTCTTGCTCAAGAGAGCCAACTGGAAATTCCCGTCACATCTTGAAAACAAGACCCGTGAGAAAAGTTACCTTAAAGCTTTTAAAGCTATATGAATCGTCTTTTGACTTACTCAAATGGATTTTCATCAGAGAACAGTTTTAAGAAATAAGTTACTTTATTTAACAGGTTGTTCAAGAGACAAATGCTGTAGCTTTTGGACCAACCACATTAAGCATGGAGGTTCCTCAGTCTCTCTCCCCCACCCGCCCCAAGTAATCTCAAAGCGGCTGGGAATAAGAACCTCTCCACTGTGCAACCAAAAAGTCGTGGCACGTCATGGCAAACAGGAGGCTGTTAGCAAGGTTCTGCATTCTCATTCCTTGCCATGAGTTGCTTTTGCTTAAAAAAATTTTTTTTAGAATACATCAAGTTTGGGATTGTTTTTAAACAAAATAATTCATGAGAAAGTTTCACCATGACAACTGGGCCGGAACTTTATTGCCTCTGGTCTGTCGGAGGGATTTTTCTAGGTAGTTACAATTTAACTTACAGATTCTGATCACGTGACTGAAATAAAAGCCTTGATTCCCAAATATTTTCATGTAGCAAGGTATTTCTAATTCTACATATTGGTTATATATATATATATATATATATATATATATATATATAAAATCAAATGCGAGGGTTTGAATTTTGTTTAAGCATTCACTTTTTCTAATATTTGGCAAAAGAAAGTGATTTGTGAGGGGGAAGATTACTGCCAAGTTGAAGAGTGGGTTGATTTTATGAATACTATCATCCCAAAAAGGTTCACAACTTTTAATTTTTTTTAAAAAAAATATCAACACACACATACTAATGGGCATAAAGTTTGGGCATTTTTCAGTCTCTCGAAGAGCTGGGCATTTACATCCAGAAGCAAGCCAACAATAAGCCAAACATCTCTTGCCACTGGACACAATCCAACCAAGCGCTTATTTGATAGCACACTTCCCACTGAAAAGAAAATTTGACCAGTTTGTGCCTGTTGAACTGAACACTCTTCTTAAAATTCAGAGAGGCGATCACACAAATAACCTTAGTTTCTCTGCTATTTAAGACAGCAATGCTTTATGTAATGCAGTTTTATAATTACACAGTAATTATAAATTGTGTAGTACCAAACTGATGGCAAAATCCATTTTGTTGAAAAGGCCTCAACATTGCAAAAGGAATTATCTTTAAAAAGAAACAAAAAACAGCACAGCATTTATGCCCCAACCTTCTCCACAGGGACAGAGTTAAGTACATCTCATCTGGAAAAAAAGAACACCAAAACACAAAAAATACACAGCATACATACATCAATGACTCATTCTGAAAAAACTGTACCCAAATTTTCTTAAGACCGAAAACAGCACACACACCTTGTAGTTTTCATAATTCAAGTCTCCACTGATATTTACACGAGAGAGAGAAAAGAAACAATGTAAGCAGTAAAGCAATATATTTGACTTTGCAAACTGGCTTCTGAAGAAGGGATTCCCAATTTTTATCTAATGGTTTTCTTAAATTAACACAAGACTGAGCTTTACCAAAAGGGCACAGCTGGGAAAAAGGGAATCCCCTTTCTCACAACTTCATACAGGTTTTAAAAAAGATAAAGCAATTTAATACTCAAGTATCTTCCCTAAAATTATTTAGCATGTGCATAAGTGTTTTCTTTCTTTCTTTCTAATTTTATGGATAAATGAGATAGGACACAATATGCCAAGCCTGAACTTTCCCTTTTTTTAAAGATTAGAAAAGGACTTCTAATATCGGATGGGGAAAACAACTCATGTTTCCTCTGCGAAATGATTTCCAGAAAACAGCTTCGTATCGCTCGTGAAGTTACATGACATTATAGCCAGAAGGCGTTTCAAGTGCTGCTTTTGCCATGTAAAAACACAAGGACTAAAGCCGTGGCTCAAAAGGAAAAGCCAGACTCTGTGAACTGGACACAAGTGTAGAAGCAGATGAAGTGCAGTGGAGCCCAGTTCAGATGCCAAAGTTTCCCCATTGCTTAGGCACTGGGGAAGACTGGGAGATCCCAGGGGCTCCCACTAATTCTCTCCCATGCCAGATCTCTCCCCATTCCTTTTATTAACCATGTTTAGTGTGGCACTTGAACCAAGATCAATACTGTAGTCAACTTTAACCAAGGTATGCAAACTAGCTCCTTCACTTACGTTTCAAACTCTATCTTAAAAGCATTGGGGAGATGGGATTGCTACACACGGCTAAAAGGGAAGAGGGGTTCATGAGCCCAAAGCGCACTCCCAGTTTCTCCACCATGGTTAAGCAAAACATTTATTTCGCCTGACCCAGCCAACGTTAAGCACCACTAAAGAGTCAACGATACACTTAAGACTCTCCCACTAATAGTGCTTAACCTATTTGGCCGGATTATGCTATACTATGTACTTGCTTGGGAAAGATAAACTTGTGAACCCAGCAAGTCTGGAGCTCACACAAAGGCTTCACTTAAGCAGGAGAGCTCTTGTGCGAGCAATAACCTCGCACAGGGATTTCTGTGGCCACGATTGCAAAAATGAATTGAGGCGTTCCTGCTTGCTCAAGGTGTCTATGTGCTAGAGCCTGGCAGAACTTTTGCTCGGAGTAGGGATCCCTCTGTTTTGACAACCACAGCGATTTGCGGTTAATACGGTAAGTTGCCTGTCACCGATGAAGGACGTGGACCATAATGTCAGTACCGCTAACATCATAAAAATTTTGTATTAATGGCTCAAACCATCAAGTATAGAAGAAAATGCATATCACACTCATTGTTATACCCACGATCAAAAACCTCTGTTGGCCCTAATCAAGGATTCTATGTATTGTGTAGCAAACATTATAAATTCAGTACTGTATTCAAGTTTTAACATTTCAGTAGAAGTTAATGGGGGCGGGAAAGATTTCCTGGACAAAGAGATGCTACAAAAAAATTTATTGGGTAACTAAGCAGTTGTGAGCAACTTATCACCCACATTCTAGGATGAATCCTGCTGGTCTTTCTATCAGAAAACCCGACCCCACTCTTGGAAGTTAGAAATAACATGACCCATGATACTTCGCCCCAAGGATTGAGGGGTAATGGTAAGTGCCCCAATTCCCTGAAGAAGGTGGACACCCCTGCCGCCCTGGAATGGTGTCGTCCAAGTTAGCTGCAAGACAGTCTACTGAGGGCGTGGTGGTGGAGAGGGTATCACTAATTTAGGTGGGCACAGGTATTCCAGGCCCTGCCTCTTTTTCTCTGCATGCATGGCATTGCAAAGAAACTGCTGGAGTGCTGGCAGACAAGGGAAGCCACCGAGTGTGGGCAGGGGGGACAGAAAGAAGCAAGAGGCAGAGACTTAGCAAGATTCACATGGCCCAACTACTGAGGATCGGGGCCCTAAAGGATGGTTCACCTTTCAACATTAGGCACCCAGTGTTTCCGACTAGATTATTAAAATATGGATACTGTTGAGCGCCGTATCTGTCCTGCGTTTCAGCAGCATTCACTGTTACACACAACAGAACTTCAGTCAAGCAGCTACATAGCTGGATAGCCCGATATTGGCGGGCAGAAAAGCCCAGACCTTTCGCCAGGGCATTTTTGACATTTGCTTTAGAACAAAGC